CAATAATAATAATAATAATAATAATAATAATAATAATACAAATAAAAGCCTACTAATGATAATAATAATAAATAAATAAAAAAAATACCCTAAAGATAATATTAATAATACACGAACTAAGGTAATATCGTTAGCAGAGGGAAGCATAACAAGAATGAAAAAAGACAGATATAAGGTATAGGCTCCTTATATCTGTCTTTTTTCATTGTCCTGTTAACATCCTACATATTATGAAGCTGCTTTTTCTGTCTGTTGCATCAAAACTTACCTGAATCCTTCAGACATGTCGCGTGCCTTCGTCCGCCTTCTGTAGCGCGTGGTCCTCGGCTGTTACACTTGAGTTTCTATCTCTCTCCCTTTCTCTCGCTCTCTGTCTCCCTCTCTCTTTCTTTCGCTCTCTCTCTCTCTCTCTCTCTCGAAAACTGAACATGAAGACCCCCCCATCCCATGAAACCATCGTATTTACCTCTTCTGTCTGTATGATACATGATTAAATGGTGATAAATGTATAATCAGAATAAACCCTGAAATGTTTTATCAGAGCTAAAATGAAAAAAGGGTAGCTTACATCAGTAAAAAAAATCACATTAGTCGAACATTTGAGCTTGTTATCACTATTATGTCATGCACGGTATTTTATCCAGGTATGAACAGATTTGGAAATGTTTGGTGGAAAAGTGCAGGTTATCTCGGGTTGGATTGGATTGACACCGCTTTCTTGTAGTTGCTGCAATTAATCACACAACTTCTTATTCTTCCGTACGTTTTTCAGTGTGCTTCAAGTCCTACATGCTTGACGCTAGAAATCAATGATGACATCTAAAAATCTATAAAGGCTACAAGCCTGACAATTGGTGAACATCTTCCCCATTCTCCAGGGCTGCACCTACATAAAATGGTAGTGATATAAATCAACAAATAATGTTTCAGCTAATATCTCTTGAACCATGAGACGTTGACCACGCCAATTTGCGTCATAAAAAGTTTCCGCCATTTTGAATTATTTTCTAAATACACTTTTGACTACCTATCCTACACCCTGATCCAAGTCTCATCAAATGTGGCACGTATCATGTTTAGACGACCCGTAATACAGCCCATACCTTAGAACACCCTAACACCCTGAATAAGACTACTGAGTTTCAAGCAGTTTCCCCGCTATGGTACCTTATGGTAAAAAACAAAAACAAAAACATTAATTGCTAAATAGAAATCGCTATACTCTCAGATAGGGATGGCTAAAAACAAGATTCCAGTTTTAAACTGTCAAATATCCCATGACACGCCAATAGTGGCTTGTAAATAGCTTGTTGATAACTCATATAATTAATGAGTTATCAATTTTTTGACAAGTAGTGCATAAAATCACTAATATCTTGAAAACTGACAGAGATACTGAAGAGATTGATATAAGCCACGCCCATTTGCGTCATAAAAATTTTCCCACCATTTAGAATTTTTTCTAGACAGACTTTTGACTCCCTCACTGACATCTTTAAACCAAGCTTCACCAAATGCCATACATATTACGTTTTAACAACCCAGAACATTTCTCAGGTGTTAAATTTGAAATATCAGGTATCTGTTTCCATGATTGGCTGACAAACCTTTGTGGGTGTGGTCAAATCAATGCAACCTGTTGTAACTTTTGAAGGTCTCATCTGACTACAACCAAATTTGGCTCAACTATACTGACTGAGAGTGACTGTCAAGTTTCATGCAATTTCGCCACTAGTGGGTGCTTTGGTAATAAAGCAAATATTGCTGAATGCAAATGGCTACTAATCTCAGACCTTGGTTGCTGGAAAAATTGTTACACTTTTAAAATGTAAAGCATGACTAAACCATATTAGCTTTTAAACAGCTTGTTGATATCTTTTATTTTTTTATACCTTTATTTTCTTCTTGTATGTTCTTGTATATTGTCCCTTGCTTTGACCATGATAATGTAATTTTTTACGCATTGTAGGCCTAGTTAAATCTGATATCTTCACTGTATGAGTTAACTTGAGGCCTGGTCTCTCTCAGCTACATAAGCAATAAGTTACATTGGATGTTTTCAGCACCATAGACAGCAACCAACAGTTTGAATCGTACCGCCTAGCGTTTGGTTGAAGGTCACTGATGACATTTCAGTCAACCTGCTGAAAAGAGCTTTAGTCACTCCTCCAGCCTGATGTTAACATATGGCCTATGCAATGATAGTTTAGTCTGTTTTATGTTATTCCAAGTAATTGTAAACGTTTCATTTTGAAATAAATTACATAAAAGTATTTTGTTCATGTTAGCTGATTGTTTTGATTACTGTGAAGGCCAGCTCCAAGAGTTTAGCCACCACTATAAGCTTCTATAAGAGAAGACAAGTTCTGAAAGAACTCCACTGCTCAGCGGTGAAGACAGAGACCGGGCCATGATGGTCTAACTGCACCCTGCACATTAATCCCAGGCAAAGATAAGGCCCACTCCCCAGGGAGGAGGAGGGGGCATGCCATGCAGTTTATGTGATTGGGTCCTGTCGTGACTCACGCCAGGCGGTATAAATCACAAATAAACTTGTAAAGGAGTCGCTATGACACTGCCACTGCTGGTGCCCGGGGCTTCGGGAGCGAGCATCTGATATTGAACCTGAATAAAAGTGACATGTTTGAGAAAGAGAGACTACTTGGATGCTGCAGCCACACTTCAGGGCAAAGGGCGATGGTGCTTGGTTTATTCCCGGACTACAGTCTGCATTGGTTGACCGCAAGGCTTTCCAACAATGACTTCAGCAGTATTGTTACTTTGAGCATTGGTGAAGAGAGGCCAATCCGGTAGATGACTATCAATTAAGGAAATGTTATATAATGGGTAGGCTATATTGTATTTTTTCGTTATTTGTTTCAGGTTTCGGAGTGTTTCTCCCTTTCAGTCAGTAATATTGATGTCTCTGTCGCTGTTTATACGCTTGTGAAAAATTGGATGGTCCAAAAAAATAGACATACAGTTCTGTTTTATTTCCTCAAAACATAAACCCCATTAATCAATCTGTTGGCAGGCCTATTTTTCATGTTTCATGTTAGGCCGTGCTTTGCACAATTTGGAGTAATGAGGAAAGTTGGCACTTATTCAGCAACATTTGTCCTTTTCATTGACTGACTAAAATCTGACTAAAATGAAATATTAAATCACTTCGGTTGAAAACTTGCAAAGGAAAGCATGGTTTCCAGCAACTGACAGCTCCAAGGAAAAAGCAGATGCCCGGGGTTTAGGTGAGTTGCAAAGTTCATAGCACCATCACTGGTGAAATGAAGTCAATAAACGTAAAAAAAAAAAAAAAAACATGGATGGCAGGTGGAAGAGGAAATCCAATGTTTAAAATAAATGAAATAAAATATCTAGTTAAAAAAGGTGCTCTGAAACCAATGCTATTTAAATATCAAAGTCTGAGAAACCACATTCCCATTTCATGAAAAACATCATTGTCCTCATAACATTTATCATTCATTGTTGATTCAAATAAAGACATACTTGAACGACTGCAGACTGATGTCTCGATTATTAACTACTTTTAGCTTCAAAATTAGTTTCCAAAAACAAATTTGTTTTCTATTGTGACTTATTAGATTGAGCAATTATAACATCGCCCACACATCCATCCACTTATCTATCTATTCCTCAACTCACCCGTCATTCTCTTTACAAATTTATCATCTGTCCTGGGTTGGTAGTTGACAATGCAGGACACAGGGTCAATATTCTGAATGTGTGTGAGAGAGTCTGGTTGAATCATGGTAGACCTTTTGGTGGCCTCTTATTTTCTCACTTTCAGTGCTGGCCTCAATAGTAGGAGTTAAGTATCATATTTTTAATGGTTACCTGGCACAATATAGAGTAAACTGCAAATGAAACACATGAACCAGTGACTCATAGATGTATGCTTGGATTCATTGACTGCATATTGCATATTGATATATATGTCATATATCAGTACACCATGTAACATATAGTAACTCAGTCTGTATATGAAGCCATTATAGGCTCATACATTGTATGGAATTTGAAATTTCAGTTGTTTGGATTGTACACAATGGTTGAGCTATAAATACAACAGTGAATTTTCATTTACTTACTTAGCTCAGTGCAAATATTTTAAATGTTATTGATTTCTTAAGAAAAATTATTTTAGATTTTACATCATGTAGGGATGGTCCCACTGACTGCATGGGTTTGTTTCAACACCTCATGACAAGTGTATTCGGAACTGCTAAGCACTGTCCTGCTGATGTGTCCATGAGTCAGGTCCTCCACCTCCAGGGGTGATGTTTTGTAGGTGACCCCAACCTCGAAACGTGGCGTCTCCCTCTGTTAACAACAATGAATTGAGACACAGTCACCAGTCTACCAGCTAGGAGGCAGCTTCAAGCAAAAACTGTGCAACACTGACCTCTGTTGTTTGTTACTGGTTACTGCCTGCAACAAAAAGATGGGTAAAGCACTGCATTAGGTGCCAAAATTTAAGTGATTTTTTTCAGGCATGACAGAAGAAGTAATTTTCTCGTAAACTATCTACTTTTTGAATGTTTTTTTTCTTCTATTTTAAAAAAAAACGTTTTATCTAACTAACTCATATCATTTTTTCATCTTATTTTATTTTTGTTTGTTATTGATGCATCCACAAATGTAAGATTTTTTCCAAATGATATGAGCAAAAACAAGATAAAGCTGGGGGGGTGGGGGGGGGGTAATCACTTCATTATTTCACTTTAATAAAGAACCTCGAAGTCCCCAGACTTTGCTCGTATGTGCTTCCACTTATGAAAAAAACCCAAAACAAAACACGTAATTTTCAAAATAACATACAAGCACAAATACAACGTCAAACTTTGCAAATGCTTCAACCCAAAAAAAATTCAATCATATTGTATTATTGTTTTTTTTTTCCCTCGCCGTTGTTCTTTTCTTTTTTCATTTAGTCAATAAAGTTTTGACAGGGAAATAAAAAAAAAGGAGGCTGAGTGAGAGGAGATGTCGCTAGCTCTAGCAGTTGCTCTACAGAGGTAACTGTAGTTAACAGCTAGTTGTATTTATATAGAACAAGCAAACACATCTTATCAAACGTTTTCCTGTCAATACAACCATAAGGTGAGAAACTACTCGCATGCTAACCCAACGTTATGGAGCTGAGTTAGCTTGTTGTGAACCGTTCAACTTCCGAGCTGGCTATCTGTTGTTAGCCAACATTAGCCGGCCAGTGTAAGCTAGCTTGTCATTGTTATAAAAACAAGTTGATTTAATAGAGAAAGAACAGTCGACAACAAACTGACTTGCAACATGGGCATGTATACAAACTACTGTACACTTTACCGAAAGCTTCTCTTGTTACCGTCGGTTCTTTTGCTACAATGCTGTTGATTGTAAGTAAACTTAAACTGTCAGGAAAATGAACTAGTCACAGTGGATTCCGGGTGGGCAGCTGCCTCAGTGTATGAGGCACTTTTTAAGTAACGCAAGCCAGCCTGAACTGCTGGCTACAATCTAATTTAACCATAACTGGTGTGGCAGATATCCACCACAGTCAAAGATTTTAGTTATGATTTTGAAAAAAATTGTGATTTTTATAGCTAGGTGAGTTAGGTGATGCACGGTTACTGATGTCCATGCAAACTGCATTTATAATTGTAGCCAAAGAAAGTGGGCATGGAAAGAGACAAACAGTTGCTGTGTTAGCTACCTTGCAGTTATATCTTAAAATAGCATCTCAATTGCAGAACATTGTGACGTTGTCAGTTCTCTGTCGACACATGTGATTACCAATGTTCTATGTCGACCAAGTCGGGTATGAAGAAAGATATACACCAGTAGTTTCCTTTCTGTATCTTAAAGTTCTTTAGATACACTTCAGAAGCGTTATTCAAGTGCTTAAACAAAGATAATTAGAAAGCATTATATTACTCAACTATCACTACCTGAATCCCAATTCTATACTAGATACTAACTGTATATAGTATTACTATGTACTAATTTTTATTGTACAAATTTTTAAGTTAATTTACAGTAAATCAACATACTTTCCTATGTATCATACTAACAGGAAATTATACATGAATCATCAATTATACATGATTCATCTGTTTTTAGTCAAACTGCAACTTTTGAGTTACACTGCCAATTTAATTTGACAAAAACAAAGCAAAATGTTTTGCTTTGGAAGATCTAGGGGTGCATCACCACTACTTTCAGCTTCTTTAAATGCTTTGCAGCTGTGAAGAGCTTTGTGCGTGATATTGTTGGAAAATTGTGTATATTCAGTGCACTCAAGCAAGTGTTCTTAGCATGCATACCACCTGTTTTTATTATATTGTAACACTTTGTAGTGTGAACATACAACAGACTCAAAACCTGCTTAGAATTAGTATGTTGTATGGAATTAAGACAGTAATCTCTTTTCTAAATGTAAAAAAGGACAGGTTTTCACCTCCTTGATAATAGAGCTGGTAAGCTTCCTAATAAGGTACTTGTATGAGACGGCCTTTTGGGTGCACCATGTGACTGCAGTTCACTTCCACATAGGGTGGAGTGGGGGCACTGTTTCACAGCAGGCTCTAGGGAAAGAACAACAGCGTCTCAGACAATCTAGGTTTGCTTAGTCATTCACTTTGTTTGATCATTATTATGAGGAGGTTGTCAGTCTTGAAATCACTTTCACCACACGATTAAAATGGTCATGGTCATTAAAACTAAAAGGTCACAAAGCCTTTGCAGTTGCTGCTGCAAAATTATGGAATCAATTTTGATTAGATGTTAGATGTGCTCCCTCCATCTCTGATTCATAAGCTAGGCTAAAGACACATTTTCATTCACTGGCCTTTTTAGTTCACTAACCCTTTATTCTGTTCTCATGTCCATAATGCTGTACTTGCTCCTTGTTCCTTCTTGTTTTTGTTGGTATCTTTATTAAGTTTCTGTATTTAGTATATTTAGTATGTTTTCCTTGTGTTTTTACTTATTTTCTATATCTGTTATGTATTTTATTGCCCTTTGTGCAGCACTAGGGTCAGCTTAAGCTGTGTTTGGGACAGTCATAGATATTAACTGTATGTTTGTATTTTTATATAGTGTTGATATATATACACACCCCAATATTTTTACTTTGCTTAAGAATATGAGGAAGGGAATAAAAAAATCTGTTTTGTGCACATATACCACATGAATGCACATAAAACACATTCATGTACACTGTTCTTGGGTATTGTACTTCATATAGCTTTCTAGTGTTGACTTCCTGATTTTTTTTTACTTATTAATTATTCTCCTCTGCTTTCTGTATTTTGCTGTATTTGTATCTATATTTAGCTTTCCAGTTTGATTTATGGTATAGTTTTACATATTTTCTCCCTTTACTCTCTTTGCTCTATCCCTTTTGCATTTTTATCAAGCCTGTTTCTTGTGCTGCTGTATTTCTTTTGATGGTTGGACAAAGCCTCAAGAAGCTTTGGAGCTTTTTCCTGATTGTGCCAACATAAGACTTTAAGCTTAGGGGCATGGATCTCAGCTAGCACAGTGACATATGGTGGTTTGCCGTAATTATAGCAGCCATTCTTGATTAAGCCAAAGCTCTGGTGCAACCTTATATTTATCCAATAAAAGTTGAAGAAGGCTCCCTTTTAGAATATATTTACCTTTAATATTCTTGTTCAGAAAAACTGAAGTAAATTCACATATTATTGTGCAGTACATTACAGTAAAAAAAATTATACACATATCAGATTTTTTTTGTTGTCATGAGGTATGAATTAATTTCCTCTTTGTGTGGCAATATGACTGGAGAATGATAATATACATATTGAAACGGTGCACTTCGTGGGGGTTAACAGGCTTTTTTTAATTTCCCTCCTGGAGATTACTGAACTCTTGTTTTGTCTTGTTTTATCCTATCGTTCATACACTTACATTATTGCTCTTTCCATGTATTTGACAGGACAGTGGCTTTTCCCACAGTCAACCCAAGGAGCTTTCCACACTGTGAGCTCTGAAGATGGAGGAGGACCATGTTCACTGTATGTCCTGTGTTAACCAGAGATGCATGGTCAGACCTGAACCAGGGGTTTCTTGTGATCTTATAAACTGTCCTCTAGTGTGTGGGGCTGTATTTCACTCCTGCAAAGCTGATGAGCACCAACTTTTGTGCCCACTAGTGAGGGTCCCCTGTTTAAACAGTGGCTATGGCTGCCCTGTAACTCTGGTGCGCAACCAAATGTATGGACACCTTGAGGTGTGTCCAGCTGGAGTGGTGTGCTGCACTATGGAATGGAACAGATGGCCAGTTAGCTGCCTGGACTATACTTCCTATGAGAGCCTGAGCCGTGGAGTGGAGGAGGTGGAGCAGCTCGATATGGCACTTGCCCTTCAGGACCAGCGTACACTACTCGAGTCCCTCAAGGTGATTGCCATGGCACCTACTGCAGAGGGAGAACCACTTGTCCCTGTTAGTAAGGAGAACAGGGCAAAAGACTCTGCTTTGCTAAACTCTGCCCCTGAGGCCTCTTTTATTGAGTCACCTTCACAGTCATCATCCTCACATCAGCCACAACTGCCCCCACCAGGCTCGGCAAAGGAGAAGATTGTCAGTGGAATTAATGGCTTGAACGAGGAACACTTCAGTAAACTCTATGAAGCTACAGTTGAGACTGCAAGAAGTTTAGCTGCTGCTTTAGACTTTGTTAGCAGTGCCAGTTCTGTTGATAGCAGCACAGAGTGCGGGAGCAGAGGAGCTGCTATGCAGAAGAGTAGATTGGGCAGCAATGGAGACTTTCAGAATGGACTGGAAGACAAAACACCTGTAGCTGCGGATGGGTTGAATCAAAGAGGGACAGAGGACAAAAGTGTTTGTTCTAGCTGTTTGGGTGGAAACTGGGCTCCTAGAGGAACAGATCTAAAGATGTTAAACTCAACAAATGGACCACAGTCAGGAGCAATGGAGTCTGTATGTATGGATACAGCCGGTCCTGTTGAGGTGCAAGATGACCTGAATGCTGGTGTTTCTCAAGAGCCAGTGACACCTCAAATGACATCTCCAGTGCATGTCAGCCAAGGTGTGGCACAGAGGGCTGGTCATGTGGTCCTGGAAGACAGGGGGCTAGTTCTTTTAGAAAACCATGGGTCTGAGCGGAAGTTCCACAATTACCAGTTTTTTAGGGGACAGGGCCAAGGGTCATTGTCAAATGGACGGATAGGTTTTTTCCCAGACAGGTCACTGTATAGATTGCGACCCAAAATGGAGGACAAAGCAGTGGATACCTCAGATCTGGAGCAGGATGACGACCCCATGGGTCTAGGAGAGATTGATCTGATCACAGCAGCCCTACTCTTCTGTTTAGAGGAATCCAGAGAGTGTAGAAGGATCTCTGATACAGTCTATGTTGATGGCTACCGTGTTGACTTTGGCACACAGACTTTCACTTTCCCTGCAGCAATCTTGGTAACAAACACTAGAGTGGGTGACATGGCCTCTGCATCTGCCTGTGATCACGCTGCCCCCCAGCTTACCTATCCCAGCCCTTTCCGCACTCTCCGCCTCGGCCTTGTCCTGGAAGCTCTGGAGGTTGAGGCGGTCCCACATAACCGCTACCTCCCTCCTAACCCCCGTTACCAGCATATGTTCCCCTTTGTCTGTGGTCAGTCACTCCGTCGGGACCAGTTTTCTTCCCATTTCACAAATGTCCACGGGGACATTCATGCTGGTCTCAATGGTTGGATGGAGCACCGCTGCCCCCTGGCATATTATGGCTGCACCTTTTCCCAGCGGAGGTTTTACCCATCCACCCAGGGGGCCAAGGTAGTTCATGACAGGCACCTCAGGTCCTTTGGGGTTCAGCCTTGCCCAAAGGCAGAACTTCCAAGTGACTTCCAGTCTGATCAATTTAGTGGACTGCCCATTGAGATACTGTGGCACATAGCTGGGTTCCTGGACAGTTTTAGCCTGTGCCAGCTGTCATTGGTTTCGAGGACTATGAGGGAAGTGTGTGCTAGTCTCCTCCAGACCAGGGGCATAGTGGAGCTGCAGTGGGAGCGAAGAAGAGGCCCTAGTGCTCATGGCACTGTGTCATGGCAGGTCAAAAACAGAGTGAGTAGAAAGATGGTTACTAAAATACATGTGCTTTTGTAAGAGGCGAAATTCCAAACAGCTGATGCTATACAATATTATGCACTCAATTAAAAATAATTGTGACCATATTTTCATGGAGTCACCATACAAATTAAAATGTTTTGAATTTGTACAGCATTTATAAGAAATAGTTTGACATTTTGGGAAATGTGCTTATCCACTTTCTTGCCAAGAGTTCCATGAGAAGATTAATACCACTCTGTTGACTCTTTGGTAAAGACATAGCTGGAGTAGCTGGAGCAGCCAGTTAGCTTAGCCTGGCACAAAGAAAGGAAAATGGGGACAATCAACTAGCCTGGCTCTGTTCATAGGTAATAAAACCCACCTGCTAGCACCTCTAAAGCTAATTACCAGTTAAAAAGTTGCATCTAATTTTAATCCATACAAATACTGAAGTGTAGAAAGAACAATTTGACTACTTCTTGGCTGAGAGCAGTAACTGTCTCCGATCTCTGTTTGGCAACAGTGGGGGAAAAAAAGAAAGCAAATAAGTGTGTTTCCCAAAATGCTGAACTTTTCTTTTAAATGTTAACAGTGAGCTAGAGGGAAATATGAGGAATTGTGGATGGTGTAACAAAACCAGGGAATGTAACTTGACATGAGGATTGTGTGGAAATTGTATTTAACAAATCAACAGGAGCATTACTAGAATTTTTGAATGCGATAACCTCTTCATTCCAACATCCTTTTTATATTTACTATCACAGGTGTGGAGATTCAGCACTGCCTTCAGCCCAGTCTTGTCGTGGGGTTTCAGTGATCTCCCAAGTATGTCAGACCATCTTAAGAAGTGCCACTTCAACGTAGTGGAGCACAAGACAGAACCTATACCCCTTCCTGCCATGTGTACTGCACGAGACGGACACTCACTGCGTCGGGTCCTGCGTCACATTAACACCTGACCAAACAAGGCTGACCTCTCATAGCTGCACAAGAGTCACTGTCGTATTATGTGGATGTTGCAATTAAAGATTTTCTGTTTTGAAAAACAATTAACTCTTCTTATATTACACTATAGATTATGAAGAAGCCTTAATGAAATAACACCTTACTTGTCACAATGAAGGTCTGTTGTTGTGGGTGAAAAAAACACTAACCATTTAGCTTTGCATGAATTTTTTTGAAAATGCACCCTTATTCTGGTAATATAAAGTATATTTTCTTGAAGACAGATATGCACAATAGATTTGTACTATTCTATATGATATACCGGGAAAGTGGAAAGAGATTTGAATGTTTTCACTGTCTTGCCTTTCAGTAGTAGCCATGGGAAAAAGCAGATTACTGGTTATATTGTATTATTTCTGTGTGACAGAAGTTGTGCCAGCACTTTACACAAGATTTGCTAATCCCTCCAATGGTGATCTGTGACCCTAAACGAGCTAGTCTTTCTCATCCCAATTTAGGGTGTCAACTTAATGCAAGTCTGTTGTCTGGGTTTGTAGGTTGTCAGAACGTGAGTCTAAACAGATGGATATTAATGTGAGGATAGCCCAATAATGCATGTGATTTGCTACCATTTAATAAACTCTTTACAGCCTTTTATATGTTTGTTTGTCATAAAGTTATTCAATGTAACACTTTATTGTTGTTACTATCCACAGGTGTTTTGATAATAAGGAAAATACCTGATCTTTACCTGCAAATGTTAGCAGCTTGCATTGAACAGAGCCATGTTGCAACTGGTCTTCACAATAATATTTCCCCACTTTGTGTAGCCATTCACTATACTTAAAATTATAGTTAAAATACTTTCAAAACTTCAACGAGCTCGACAATGCCTAGCTCCACATGCATTTACTTCAAACAGCAAAAGTCATAACTACTGTACATTTGATAAGAAGGATTAACTGTCTGTTTTACATACAAGAAAGTTCTGAAAATTGTATCTTAACTGTAATGCAGCTTTGGAGAGCTGCAAAAACACGTCATCAACGCTAAATGCACTAGCATGTTTTCTCATAAAATATATTATGGCAAAAATGCAACAATTGGCACATTTTTGGCAAAAGAGCATTAGAAAACAGTCATGACAAATAAAACTTTTGCTGCTTAGGAGCCCAAAATGCATTCGCTGAGGAATGGAGAAAACAAATTAAGGTGGGATGTGGCTAAAAATTATGGAGTTACATCCTCCAGGAGTGGTTATAATTTAAATATCTAAATTCTAATATTCAAAATGTTTTTGCATAACTGGATATGGGATACTGTGAACTGAGATCATAGTTCAGTGACTGTCAATAACTGTCAATAACTGCTGGAATTGCAAGGCTGTCTCTTAATGGTAACTTAAGTTCTTACATAAGTTCAACCCTTAACTATCCTAAAAACTAAAACTAACTAAAAAAAAGTATTATGATAAAAATCTGCATTGGATATCTTCCATTCTTTTTACTCTTTATCTTTATTGTACGTTATACTTTCTTAATAAATTGTATATTTATTGATATGTAGAGTATGTAGCAATACCAAGAGTTTACAGCCACGCTTGCAACTCTGTATCTAGGTACAGAGTTGATTTGAGCTAAATGCTATAGCTATCGAGTTTTTCTTTGTTCACCATTTTAGTTTAGTGTGTTAACACGTCAACATTTTCTCATAAGCCCTAAACACAAAGAATAGCTGGGGCTGATGGGAATGTCTGGTTTTAATGGTGTAGTCCTGGTCATTACCTAAAGTACTGGACCGACTAAATTACACATTTTTTAGGAATTTCATAGTATGCTTTGTCTAATGTGAGTTAAATAGGTGGGTGATACATCCCTGACTTCCATTTAAATATAAATACTTTTTTGGTGTCTCCATGGATTAGGGAGGAATATGGCCAGGGACTTTTGTTAGCTATCCCTCTCCCTCACATTCTTCCTTCTCTCTCTGCTATCACAATCTCAAAACAACTGATCTTAGGCTATTCTAAATGCTGCTTAGTAACCAGAGTTTCTCTGTACTGTAAGCTACCAAGTAGATTACAATATACAGTATGTGTATCCCCCAACACTGGAAGGTATGATTTGCATGTGCAAATGTATTATGATTTGCAAATGTACTTTTGTGTTGTTTTCAGTGAAGAGGAAAGACTTAAATTAACATTAAGGTTACTTAACGTAATCCTGGTTCTTTGATAACAGAGTAAGGTGCTTTACTATGGTAGTCTAGTTGAACAGTGATTGGGGCCCTTTCCTGTTCAAAGTAACAAGGTCCCAATCCATTTTATATCGGTTACTTTCGGTGTCTGTCCAGGGTAGGAAGTGTTGGTGAAACCGGTCAATACATGTTATTTGGGATATTTTTTAAAACCTTAAATAAGCTCAAGAACGTCCATTTATCATTATTATAGTTAAATAGTTTTTTTTATTTCTGTCATGCCAAAAATCTGGCTCATCCCACCTGGGATTACAAGACACTACTGTTTTACAAAACATCAGATAATACGTATTTTTAGGTGAGGCATTGTGCCTGTTGCAACATATTTTGTATATTTTAAGAATTTATCATCCTACATTTACAATGTAAACTTATGACAACAAAATTCCATCATTACTTGAAAATTTTGACACTAAAATGTAAATCTGAGCCCTTTTGATGGACTGATGAACTCCGAGGAGAAAACCTCCCTCTGAGGTCTCAGTAGTCTTGTAATCAGGGAATGTCCAACACCTGTGACTGCTGTTAAATAAGCTCAAGTGGTGTTTCTGTCAAACATCTTTAGTGGCTGAACTTTACAGGTGTGTTTTCTCTCCATGGGGCTTCATCTGCTTACCAAGAACAGCCACTTCAGGATGTTTGCGCATGTTTGATGCCATCATATTTGACAGTTTTAAAGTGGAACAAAGCTATTTATTGGAAATAATCAGTGCTGCTTTTGCTTTTTTTATGTCTCAGTTGTTGCAGCTAGCCAGGCATCATGGCAGAGTACACTCTGGATGTGACTACAGGGAGTATGACGCATGCAGGCACATTTGATAACATGTATGTTACCCTGATTGGTACTGAGGGGGAATCTGAGCGCATTAATCTGACCAACTTTGGCTTGGATGATAAAACTGGAAAAGTAAGTTGTGAAATTACAATAAATTCATATTTGTTTTAATAGATCCTGTAACCTTAATTGTATTCTCTTTAGATTAAATATTAGCAATATCTTCACCCTACCTTGAAAAGAACAAGTTCATTCATTTGCAGTTTTTTCACTTGATGGGAATTTTGTCCAAAACGTCAGAGCGGGAACAGTTTCGGAGGGTGCCTAATATATGACATTTAATATGTGAAGTTAGTCTACATGCAGTGTGAATATTTTAAGCCGTTTGGTGTATGTTAATATTGCGTCATCCTCTCCAACCACAGGTGGGAACGTATTCTGTGACTTCACTTTTGTCTTTAGGATGTCTTCTCTTCCTCAAGTTGGAGAGAGATCCTTTCCATGAATCCCCAGAAGAGGATTGGTTTTGCTCTAAGATAGTGGTGAGGACACCTGAGGAGGATGAAATTATTTTCCCCTGCTACACATGGCTGTCCAGGGGTGAAACTGTGTGGTTGAGAGGAGGGAGAGGTTAGTGTATTAATGTATTTTCTCTGTCAGGCAAAATTTAAGTACTTGTTGAGTCACAGGAATTATGTAAAGGCAAAAAATTATGTATTACCCCATTTGATTATGTCTGTATAAAATATTTTTTAAACGAATCAGTGTAGAAGTGTGTTTTTTTTTTTTTTTTTTTAAATCTATCTCTGGGCTGTAATCCACACAGCAACTAAAGCTTTTGAGGATTTCCATCCTCAACTAGCCGACCAACGGAGAAAAGAATTACTCAAACAAAAATTAATATTCAAGTAAGTGCTCAATCAATATCAAGTTAGTTACACAAGTTGTACCTCATTGAATGTTGACTGGAAAGCTTATTCATAATTTTTTTTTTTTTTTTTTGTTAACCTCCTGTCTTCATTTGCAGGTGGGAGAAGTATGAAGAAGGAATGCTGTACATCTTAAACATTCAGGATCCAAACGCTATTCCTGCAGAAATCAGATTCTCATTCTCAAAAGCTTTTCAATTTAAATACTTAAAAGAACAGATGTAAGTGCTACAATCTGCCATTAATTTAAAAAAGCTAATCCTGGACTATCAAACTTGTGGTTGTTAACAAAAGTGAAGCACTTTTTTTTCTTTTTTTTTTTTTTCTTTATCTAGGGAAGCTGAGCTCAAACTGAAAGGTCTGATAAACTCAACTGAGCACTGGAAAAGCTTTGAGGCCATGAAGGGGGTGTCCTGGTTCAAAAAGTCACCATTGTCAGGTAGGATCTTAGTACAGCATATTTTGTTTTATTTCTAAAATATTTTTGTAAAAATAACTAAATAATAATTTAATACATCCCAGAGTATGTGTCGGAGCACTGGAAGGACGATGACTTTTTTGGATACCAGTTTCTTAATGGAGTCAACCCCTTTGTGATCCAACGTTGCTCAAAGCTTCCTGCCAATTTCGCCATCACAGAGGAAATGGTGAAGCCTTTTCTAGCCAATGGAAGCTCTTTGACTGCAGAGATGGAGGTATGAGAAGTGCATTTCCTACAATTCATGTTTTTTAAATACTGTTTCCTCTCATTTCTCACCCTTTTTTTTTTTTTTTTTTTTTTTTTTTTTTTAATAGTGACTCACATTAGTAATTCTATATTTTACAGAAGGGTAATATATTCATAACTGATTACAAAATCATGGAAGGTCTTCCTACAAGAGTTATTGATGGTAAAACAGCAACTGTGACTGCTGCTCTCTGCCTGCTGTACCTGAATCCAGAGAAGAAACTACTGCCCATCGCAATTCAGGTTTCCCTCATCTGCTGAATTATTTCAGACTTGTTACATTTTTGTTTTGATCACATTCTGCAAACTTGAATATGCGTCTTCCCTCAGCTCGGGCAGCAGCCATCAGAAGAAAACCTGATTTTCCTGCCTAGCGACTTGGAGTCTGACTGGCTGCTGGCCAAGATATTTGTGAGGAATGCAGATGTCATCCATAATGAATTGATCAGTCATTATCTGAGGACTCATCTACTGGCAGAAGTTTTTACAATAGCGACACTTCGCAACCTCCCAATGATTCACCCTCTGCACAAGGTAGGCTGTGTTTCTTCCTAAATTGAAGTGCAGCTTTGAAGGCAAAGATTATAATTATTTACATGTTCTTAACTTGGCTCTATGTTCTCATTTGGTACATGTTGGTCACTAGTGTCCCCTTGCTTTCTCCCCTTCACAGCTGCTGATCCCCCATTATCAACATACCCTCCATACAAACATTCTTGGCCGTGCTCTGCTTTTTGGCTCTGGCAGACGTTTAGAAAAAGTATGACTTATGAACTCTTTCTGTAGCAGTCTACTGTAGATAAATAACAACAAGCTATACCTCTTATTTATTTTCTAGATTTCAATTGAATCACATGGACAAATAGAACTACTGAGAAGGGGGCTCTCCCAAACAACCTATGCCTCCCTCTGCCCGCATGAAAACCTTGCAGCTAGGGGACTGGAGTCCATCCCCAACTTTTATTACCGAGATGATGCACTGAGGCTGTGGAACATCATCAACAGGTGAACTTCCTGCTTGCTGACAGTCAACCCTGTTTTCATGGAGTGAGGATTAAATATCTGGCAAATTCCAATAAATTAATTGGAGAGCAAATGCTAAAACTAGATGAGCATTAACATTCTGGGATATATCCCAACATATTTTAAAGATTTCTTGCAACTTTGACATGTATTCAACATTTTAATACTGATACTCTTATTGTTGTCCTCAGCTTTGTCAAGGCAATCGTGCCATATTATTATCCATCTGACAGCGAAGTGTCAGCCGATTTCGAGCTCCAGGAATGGGTCAATGAGATCTTCTACTATGGATTTCTGAGAAATGTTGACTCAGGTATCTCACTTGAGGCTACTGGTCAATTATTCTCCACTCCAAACATCTTGCATAAATATTTGCTACATAAGATGTTGAGGCCTTGCAGAAGTCCCTTTCTCTAGGAGATAAACAGATCAGGTCCTACCTTTTTATCTGTATATCATCCTTTTTATTTGTTGCTTTTATTTTAAAATGTAATCATTAACTAATATCACTTGATTTTTCACTTGAATCATGATTGCTTAAAATTACTGCTAACCAAGTAAAAGATTATGTTTTTAATTTTCCAGGCAGCTATTTGTCATGAAACTTAACTTGCACAGATTTGCACCTTGTTTGAAGTAGGTAATCCATGATTTCTAAATCACATTGCCTGGGTTGCAATTGTAACCACATATTCACACCCATGGGTAGAGAAGGAATGCATTACAAAATCTAAATAGTATGACATTCTGGGGAAAGAACAGCAGTAAGTAAAATGAGGATGTAGTAAAATTAGGATAAAGGAAGCAAAAAAAAAAAAAAAAAATACAATAATGGCCCTACAAAAGATGTGATGCTTTGTTAGGAATTAGCTCTATACTGTATTAGATTTATTTAACAAGAGCATTCATGACAGGAATCCCTTCAAGCTTTCAAACTGTGGAGGAACTAATCAAGTTTGTCACTATGGTGATCTTCACGTCATCATGTCAGCATGCTGCAGTGAACATTGGACAGGTAAACATTTTATGAATCATTTTTGAAAAATTATCATTCATTTTTATTTATTTAAAAAAGGTCAAATTTTAATTTGTAAGCTGTATCTCTTAAGTTTGATTTTCTAGGTTGGATTCCCAATGGTCCGATGTCACTGAACCATGCTCCACCAACAACAAAGGGACAGTCGAGCATGGAGACCATCTTGGCAACTCTGCCAAATAAGTCATCAGCAGGACTTTCAATGGCAATCTTGTGGCAGCTCAGTAGCAAGTATGAGGATTTTGTAAGTAAGACTTGCAGATTTTCCATTCAAAACTGACACAAGTTGGACTAGCAATTGTCTCTTCATAGACTACCAAATACGCCAACATGACATTTCGCTCCTGTCTTTGTCAGGTACCTCTGGGTACTTATCCTGAGCAACGCTTTGATGAGCCTGCGGCCTTACAGATGATCAAGGATTTTCAAGCAAAGCTGTCCTCCCTCAGTGTGGCTATTACCAAGAGGAACGCAGACCTTGAGCTTCCTTACATTAACATGAACCCTACAAAAATAGAAAACAGTATAACTATTTGACCAGGATTACATTTTCAACAATGGTAACGTTAAAGTAAAGAGTTATCAAGTATTGTGTATCCGCTGAGACAGTGACTCATGTACTGTAACTGACGCTAACTTATCCTGAAAGTAAAGATTCATACATTTATAGGGGTGATGTATTTTTTTTTTTCATTGGGTATGTGTGTTGTTGTTGTATGTGTTCCAAAAAAACATTTCTGGTCTATAGTAAACAGCTTTGCAGAAAGCAACAGTTCAATTAGACTTGAGACAGGCCATATTAAGTAAATGCTTCATCCTGCTTCAGATGTGGCCGAAAGTGTTGGCATGCCCTCATTGAAACAAAGCTCCGGTCTTCCTTAAAGTGTTGAAATTAAAAGCTCTTTTGCCATACCCTGCATCCCTTTTTGGTTTTCCACAGAATAAACCAGAGAGGCTATGAAAGGAGCTGATCTTGCTCATTCTACACAGATTTTCTTAAATGGCCTGGACCCTTACACGTGGTGATTAAATAAGTAGATTGTGGTGATATTTCAAGGAAACTATTATCTTACAGGTGTCTTCAATCTGTGGAATTCAAGGCTCTCTTCAGAAAAGTGTTTCAGGGCATTGAGGAACCTTGGCTACTTTAATATGTTGAGTGATTTGTGAACTATTGCTCACCCTAGTTGCCTTTCCATTGTTCCAAAGACCTACAAAGAGGTCCAGGATAGTCCAACTTCTTCAAACAGCAGAAACTGTAGTGCCTGTGGCAAATTTATGTCTTATGCAGTAAAGCTCCACTGACAGGAGTATGCATCTGTTATGGTCATATGTCTCATGGCAAACCTCTCTTACAACAAACACTTGCTCACTGGTTATGTGATGATATGTCTGATGATCTTTCTGGGGAGGTTATAATTTACAAATCTGAATTCTAATTTGCAAAATGTTTTGCGTAAGTAGATCTGGCCTACTATGAACTCCAGTGAGAGTTCATCAGAGAAAAACTGACTAGCCATCAATAAAGTGTGAATTACAAGGCTGTATCTTTATGTAAAAAGAAAAAAAAGGTCACCTAAATAAGTTCAACCATGAGTATAATCTTTGTTTATTGCCTGCATGTGATAGCTTAAATCCTGTTGTCTCTGTACTGTACATTATGCATTACATTAAACTACTATGAAGTATAAATAAAACTTTATGTAATTAAACTTTACATGACAGATCTTTTCAGATAAACATTTTTATGAATTTCACATCATGATTTGTTGAATGTGGATTAAATACATAGGTAAGCTCTACTCTTTGTATATAAGCAAATGTAACATTTCCACGCACCATGTGGATATGATACTGACCATAAATCTCAAAACCAACATATAAACCTGCCTGGTGGATTATAGTACTTACTATCTTTAAACTAAAATGTAAGATTTGCATTTGCATTTGCAGGGACCTTTATTGCCAATCTTTCGCCCTCAATTTCTATGATTTGCATTTGCAAATGCATTATAATTTGCAAATGCATTAGTGTTCATGAAGAAATAACCTCAACTGATAGTTTGAATTTTTACAAATCATAACTGAATTGTTAAATCAAAAGTAGGAGGAGCATGAGATGTAGAGATATAAAAAAGGAGCAAAACTGAGAACAGCAACAGCAAAATTAAGCGACAAGGTAGGTGATGCAGTATTATTAACATTTGCCATAGAATATAGATATTTAATTCATTCATTTTTAAATTATTTTATTTTATTTTTTTATTCCAATCAATACAGAATTGTGTATTGACCATTGACCAAAGAGTGACCATGGCTGGGTACAAGCTCGAAGTGACAACAGGTGACATGACAAATGCAGGAACATTTGACCACATATATGTCACCCTAATTGGAACCGGAGGGAGGAGTGAGCGAACTGAGATGGACAACTTTGGTGTAGATTTTAAAACTGGGATGGTAAGTTGAATCAAATTGTTGGTCATTGCTCATATATGAGTCTGAAATTAGCCCTACGACAGTATATTTGGTCTTTTTCTGTGTATGCATGAGTATTGGGGTGGCATTTGTCTATATATACACATAAGAATAATCTGAAATATTTCTATTTCTATTTTTATTGTGTTTTTATTATTGTGTTTTTTTATCCTTGTGAAACACTTTATAATCTCTGATTTTTAGTAGTAGTAGCAGAATTTTATATTTTGAGAGTGCTAAATTGATAAACATTATTATTATTATTATTACACATAATTGTACTGCATTTATTGTCCTCCAATGTAATTAAGACTAAATGCTCCACACATAAAGGACCTAAGACATTAAGATCTGTTTTTACTGGAGCTGCAAACAAATTTAGGTGAGAGAGGTACATTTAGTATAAGTCAGTGAAATATTGCCATCAATATGTATATTTTGTTGTAGATCCTGACACAATTTGAATTAAATTAATAAACTGACAGGACAGTACAGCCTCTGCTTTAATTTTTCTGTTCTCTACTAAACACCTTCGCATATGTGATCATGTCAGTCAATATTTTCCTTCATTTGCTGTTTGATGCTCCCATGCAGAGACATATTTGAGATGATACAAAAAAATGTGTGTATGTGATGTTGCACTTGCTATGTCATTCCTATTCTTTGACCTTTATTTATGTATGTCATACTTTCTTACATTGTCCAGGGTATAATGTACCTTATCCCTCTCTCACAGACATCAATTTACACTGTGAAAACCTGTTCGTCCCTGGGGAAACTTCTGCTGGTCAAGGTGGAGAAAGATCCCTTTTTCTTCCTCCCAGAGACTCAGTGGTACTGCTCCAAAATAGTGGTGACGACTCCAGAGGGAGATGTCATTCTCTTCCCCTGCTACAGATGGATCTCCAGGGGAGAACTGGTGGAGCTGAGAGGAGGGAGAGGTCTGCCCCTTTCCAAAGTTTTTGTTCAAATTTTTCTTGTTAATTATGTCAATTAAATGTTTTCTGATATTGATATATATGTTTTTTTTGTGTCTCAGCCATGAAGATTTTTGAGGATGACCACCCCCTGTTGATTGACCACCGGAAAAAAGAGTTAACAATTAAAAAGACCTTGTACCAGTAAGTTTTCATGTGCACAATATGCCCTTACAGCTGCAGTTTGTTGCAGGGGCTTATCATGACAAATCTTTTTGCTTTTCCTTTTCTAGATGGGAGATTACTGATGAAAGGCTACTACACATCAGTAATTTCAAAAATATATCTGAGCTCCCACCTGAAGGCTGCTTCTCTCTGTCCAAAACAATTGAAATACGTTACAAAAAAGGAATAACGTGAGTCAGTGATTTGATTTAAATCTATCTCTTATTTAAGGAAAAAAAAAACATTTTTAAGCATTAATATCAGTATTTTGTTTAACTGTCTGCCTTTTGCTGTTTTCTTTTTTACATTTTCTTATCTCAGTGGTGCTGAACTCATGTTTAAGGGTTTAGCTGGATCTACTGAACAATGGAAAAGCATTGAAGACATCAAAAAAATCTTCTGGTCCAAAACGACAAAGATGTCTGGTACAGTTTTAGTTATGCTGTTTAACTCATTTCAGCACTGGTATTCTTATGGTCCATTCAATATGTGAATGAACTTTAGCACATAACACTCAGAAGTATGTACAGCATGGCGTGTAATTTCTAATGATTCACATTGGATATTATTGGACATTACATTTGCTAATTGCTACTCTTCCAGAGTATGTTACAGAGCACTGGAAGGAAGACGACTTTTATGGATACCAGTTTCTGAACGGAATCAACCCCAATGTGATCAAGAAATGCTCAGAGCTTCCCCCAAACTTTCCAGTCACAGAAGAGATGGTGAAGCCGTTTCTGGACAAGGGTAGCTCTCTGCAGAAGGAAATGGAAGTAAGATAAAAGAGTGGCTTTAAAAGGGTGATCATATTTGGTTTGGGATGTTATTTTTACTTTGTACTTATTCTACAAATCTGTGCTACCGCTTGATGTCTGCTGCATACATACAGAAAGGCAATATATTCCTCTATGACCTCAAGAGGATGGACGGATTACCCACAAGGGTGTGTGATGGTGAACTTCTGCACGTGACCGCTGGTCTCTGTTTGTTCTACATGAACCCAGAGAACAAACTGATGCCAATTGCAATACAGGTATTTTACTAACAGTCAGTGACAGTGACAGTGACAGTGACAGTACTCATATGGCATATTGCAGATAGCATGATGGAAAACTACTTGTTCGTAATCCATACGTATGCTTTCCAGCAGCCATGGTAATTATCATGTCTGTTGTCCAACTAAAATATTTTTTAAATTCTCTATCAGAGTTTTCACTGAATCACAGTCCAGAAACATACATCTGAAAATTCAGCCTGATTTATGTAACAGACAAAACTTCAGATTTGTGTGTAAGCACCACAAAGTGCATTTTGTTTAAGTACTGTGAAGCACAAAAGCTACTCTGTGAGCATGATTCAGTATGTTTAAATACTTTTGCATCGAAATGACAAATTTTAGTTTCATGTGAGTTATGAGTCTTATGGTGTGGGATCACCACTTTGCATTTGCATGTAAAGTTCATCAGTGTGTTTTAAAATGCTTTCCTCACATTCCAGCTGAATCAACAACCCTCTGAGCAGAATCCCATCTTTCTGCCCAGTGACACAGAGACAGACTGGCTGCTAGCCAAGATGTTTATCAAAAATGCAGATTCCATGCTACATCAGTCAGTCTATCACCTCATGAACACTCACTATCTGGCAGAGGTCTTTACTGTTTCCACTCTCCGAAGCTTCCCTGTGGTTCATCCCCTCTACAAGGTATAGTTATACAGTTGGTGATTGTTTGCTGTTTTCAAATATAATATAAGAAATCAGAAAGACACAGTAGCCTACTGTGCAAAGGTTTTAGGCACTTTAGATGTTTAGATATCCACCATGCAAACCACCAGAGAGCCAAACATATAGCCAGAGTCATGAAGAACAATCTTCAGCGACAAGAAAAACAAGTCCTGCTGGACTGGCCCCCACAGAGCCCTGATGACATGTCATGTCATTTTGGGATTACATGAAGGGAGAGAAGTGACTAAAACAGCCCAAATACACAGAAAACTGTGGCAGGTTCTCCAAGATGGTTGGAAAAACCAACCTGCCAAGTTCCTTGAAAAAACTGTGTACAAGTGTAACGAGGAGAAATGGTGCTGCTTTAAAGGCGAAGGTGGTCACACCGAATATTGCTTTGAATTATGTTGTTTAACTTTGATAACATTTTTATACATTGTACTTTGAATGTAATATTCTAACTGTCTTTACAGCTGCTATTCCCTCACTTCCGTTACACTCTCCAAATAAATATCATGGCCCGCAATCATATTTTTGGACCTGATGGGATTTTAAGTACAGTAAGGATCTTTAATGTCTTTATTTCTAATAGCAGCACTCAAAACTACATTTACCTTCAGAAAGTCTTTATTTACTGTTTTTTCAGATCCTTAAATTAGTCTGATCCTTATTTTGTTTGTATAATTGATTATCAGAGTTCACTTGGATCTGAGGGGCTGACAGAGCTCATGAGAAGGGCTCTCTCTGAAACCACCTACAGCTCCCTCTGTCTGCCAGAGAACATCACTGCACGAGGACTGAAGTCAATCCCCAACTTCTACTACAGAGATGATGGACTGAAGCTGTGGAACATCATCAACAGGTAACTTTTAATTTAGGTAATAAAGATTACAGCTGCCAATACATGTTTTATGTGTAGGGGAGAGTGTTGTTGGTTCAAGACTTCTCATGTATTCTGTTGAGCACCGTGTTTAACATTCAATATAACATTCAAAATCAAATTATTTTGTGTTTAACCAGGTTTGTGAAGGCAACAGTGGGGTACTATTATCCCTCAGACAAAACGGTCCATAAAGACACTGAGCTGCAGGAATGGATCAGTGAGATATTCACCCATGGCTTCTTAGGAAACAAAGCTTCAGGTATTTAACCCACGTTCTCATGCAATTTGTAAACATAATACATACACAATATATATACTCTATATTATGTTTAAATCTTATAACAGCCATTGATATTTTGAAATTTTCCATTCTGCAGATAGTGAATGTCAAAGACTAACTGATAATAGTGGTGCTACCAACAGGTTGTCCTGCAGACTTTTATACTGTCGAGGAAGTGATCAAGTTCATCACCATGGTGATCTTCACTGTATCAGCTCAGCATGCTGCAGTAAACAGTGGACAGGTGAGACCATGAATAGTTGGAAAAATAGAGTACTTCTTGAAGTTCAAACAAACTTGATAACCAATAAAACACTTGCAATCTATAAAACAAGAAATCCATTATCCATTATTATTTTTCTTATAATAAATCCTTTCAAAAGGACATCATGATCAATTTGAAAGTGTTGTATTTCTAATTTAGTTTTACACTCTGTTTAACTTAATGATTAGTATTCATTTCTGTGCAGTGGGTTGAAAACTGAACCCACCCACTCCTTGGGCAGACCTCTCCATGCTGACCGCACAGCAGCTGATGTGAATTTCTCCTAGAGTGATCATTTTACAAGTAAATATAGCTGAAATCACAGGACAGCAGTTGTCTTGGGTGATTTTATCGTGGTTCAGGATTTTTTAGGGCTTTGAAATGACTGCTGGTTAATATATGGAGTGTTTTTCAGTCACTATTTCATACTTGTTCCAATGTCTGACAACAGAAATTCAGCTGCATTAAAATGCTGTACATTTGGGCACAGAGAGTAGAAGAGAAGCAAACAGAGGCAAGGCAAACAAAGGGCTGAAACCGGCTAACACTAGGCAGAATGCAAATAGCCTCCAGCCATACTTGGTTTTGACCCAGTCTTGTTTTAAAAAAGCATGACCACGATAATTTCCATAATCTCTCAAAAACCACGTTTATTATTGTCACCATGAAAACCACCTTACGTTAACAAAACAGGCTACTTATTTTAACCCAAACTTCTATGTGTCAGGAGGGCATGGACGAACAATGTATTTTGTTGTTTCATTTGGAGGACTTTTTCCACAAAAATGTTCAATTACTGTGTTAAAAATGAATAAAAGTACTATCTTTTCCACCTACTTGAAAAATGCAGAATCTATAAATATGCAAATATTTTCATTTCAAAAGTTTGACTGCTGGATATGATGTAAGGCTAATTCACTGAAAAAGGTCTTTCTCAAGGGATGTTGGCTCGATGCTTCAAGTTTCAGCATCACACGCGTAGGCTGCAGATTGGATCAGGTTATCCTACCAAGCTAGCTGTGATGTCAAAAAATCAAGCTCATAAATGTTAAACTCAGATTTAAGATGAGCACAGAAAAACTTCTCACCCTCAGAAGATGAACATGAAAACAACCTTTTGTGTCAAGCTCATCATTCTGCACAGTGTGGGTGATACATCCAGGCGAAACACGTTTTAGAGTGTAGGAAGGCTTTAACAATTACAAAAATAAAATGTGATACATATTTAAGCTTCTTTTGTGATCTAGTTTGACTACCACTCGTGGGTGCCCAATGGCTCACTCCTGCTGTGCAAACCTCCTCCAAACACTAAGGGGCAGTCAAGCATGAAGACAATTTTGGAGACCCTCCCAAATGTTGGACACACGGTCAGCATTGCAGCAATGTTGTGGGTGCTTTCAGAAATGTACACTGACGTGGTAAGTTTAGTCTTGATGCATGCATACATAAAGGAGGGTCATTATAACACATGCGTATTTCCAAAGTGCTTTAAGAAATTGTGCCACAAACAAAATACTGTATTGGTCTGATTTACTGTCTTGTTTTTGTCATTTTGGCAGGTTCCCTTGGGTACATACCCTGAAGAACAGTTCGATGAGCCTGTGCCAAAGCAGATGATTAACAAATTTCAAGCAGAGTTGTCCCACCTCAGAGGAGTAATTACAACAAGGAACTCACAGCTTGAAGTACCCTACACATATCTGAACCCTACTCAGATAGAGAACAGTATAACTATATAACTAACCCTGAAGAAGCCAACAATATCCATCCCTTTCTAATGCGTCTTGCATGCTGTGGCGTGTGTTAAACTTTGAATTTGGTGCATACAATATAATACAATAAGTGAGGGGGTAGAGACAGTTAGTGGGTTGTTTTATGTTGGTTGAGGAAGAATATATTTTGGTTCCTGTAATGTGGGCCAATGGATAAGTACCTGTATCTTTGTTTGAATTATGTATTACATAGACCTATGTTGAGAAACACATTAATTTAAATGAGCAGTTTGGGTAGCAAACGCTTAAGCTTGGACACATGATCTTTATCAATTGGACCATAGTCCAAAACAGCAAACATCTGCTGATAAGTGGTGATATAATGCGCTGAAATGTAACTGCTTACTACTCTTTATGATAAAAACACATCTTACATTAAACTAGGTCCCACTTCCCCGGGTTGCTAGAAGCTGTGACATTAACTGATATTTTAAAAATGTTAACTTACATGTAATCAATGTCTTTAACCTTTTAATGAATGAATGCATACAGAAAATAGAGTGTGCATTATGATGTATGATTTTTTATGTGCTTGTGCAAGGGTAAGCTTCACCAGTATGAACTCTTGTCTATGAAGGACTATTCATTTGCTTTGTTTGCAGTTCAAATTAAAATGGCATGTGAATCAACGATTCAGCATATGTTGCCTACTTATTGTATTTGTACTTATAGCTTCAGTGAGAGTAAAGAAGAATCTATTCAGTGAAAATAATACTTAATCATGTTCACATCATTAGTAAATCACAAGCAAGTCAGCTGTTTCTGTAAGCCAAAGCTAAAACATCAGTTTAGACTGATGATCGAGTTCAGTAACTCCACCACTGAGGGCCCACACAGGAGAAGAATCTGGATTTTTTGGCCTCGCAATGACTGTAGGACTAATCTTCGTTCATTTCCAAATTGTAGTCAATTAGAGGGCTCACATACCTGAATGAACCAATTTAGGTAAGTTGATGCAATGCTTGTTGTTATTCTACAGATGAGCATTACTGACTTGAACTTAAAGGAAAGTAAATATTGGATACCTGCAGGGTACAGTACTGCGAAAGAAAACAAATTGAGTTAAGTAAATATTTCTAGCACATCTCTGAAGAGGCCACAAAATGAGCTGCAGCAGGAGGAGGAGAAAGACATGTCCCTGTATCATTTATAATACAGTATATGGAGGGGGTGCTGCTGAAATGCACAGTATACGGTATACACTATTATCTGATCTTATTGCAATGGTCAACAAAAATGAAACCTGAGGGTGCTGCCACATTGTAAACAAATGTGTCTGCTGCATGTCAGCTCTGTGTTAGTACTGTGCTCAGAAGTACTGACCTTAAACAAGCTTTGACAACAATAGCTGCTGCACTTCTGAACTGTGAAGTGCTGCTAAAATACAATAAAATAAGCCGCCTCTTTGTGATGACATTTATAGCCTCTCAAAAAGCAGAATTTTATCAAACCATATATCTGACAAAAAGCAAAGCAACACAAGGATCCTTTCTCTTTTCCCAATCAAAAATCAAATCATGCAAACATATATCAAAAAACATACTACCAACACTAAATAAAACAACAGGTTTCTCACAATAAGATAAATTAGAATGCAGACTGACAGTAAATTGAATAGGACTTTTTTTCCATAAAAACTGTATTAAGCTAATTCAACAAATACGTTAAGAAAGAAAAGACAACATTTTTGACAGCATTTAGTTATTCTATAAACATCCACAAGCTGGTTAGCATTTATAGATTGTCTATCACTAGACATATTTCATTGCAGATCCAGATGCAGATTGAAAATAATAATAATAACAGGTTAGGTTGGTTAGGCAAGAAAAGTAAGTCAGAGCAGGTGAAGTCTTCAGAATGTTAATAGAGCAAGGACCCAGCATCTCTGGACCTGTTATTATCAAAATAACAGATTATGTCTAGCTTTGGCAGAGGTATGCACTCTTTGAGTTTCTAGTATTTTAATACTAGTTTAAATTAGTATTTTGTTATATTTTTGTACTAATTACTTTGGCATTAAATACACAGATGTAAACAGATGAACCAGTGCAGATGAAGTAACAAGAGATAAGTGCAGCCAATGACGTGTTTATAAAGTGACCTAAAGGTATTTTTCTCAGAATTCAGTTTGTTTTTTGGCTTGGGTATTAAAATTCAGTTTTAGTACAACTGTGGCCGCAACCCCCGTAGGCCCCGTAGCTTTAGGCACTCAAAACCAGAAAAACAAGTTTCCCCAACTCTTATGTTAATATACAGTGGGGAGGGTAGTCTCAAAAAGGTCCAAATAATGGTGGAGGGATTATTATAAAAAAAGGTGAGAGCAAGGTAAAGGTATTTTTCTCAGAATTCAGTTAGTTTTTTGGTTTGCGTATTAAAATTATGTTTAAATACAACCGTGGCCCCTACCCCTGTTGGCCCTGGTGCTAGGCACTAAAAACCAAAAACACAAGTTTCACCACCTCTTATGTTAACATACAGTTGGGGTAGTTGAGGGATTACTAGAAAAAAAGGCAGAGAGCAAGATAAAGGTTGTTTTTTGGCTTAGGTATTAAAATCATGTTTTAGTACAACTGTGGCCTTTACCCCCTTAGGCCCTGTAACTATAGGCTGTAAAAAACCAGAAACACCACCTCTTATGTTAACATGCAGTGGGGGTGGTTGTCTCCAAATTAGGGTGGGGGGATTACTATAAAAAGAGGCAGAGAGGAAGAATTCAGAGGACAGAGAGGGAAAACCTGGACCTGCAGCTTTAAGGCAAGAAGGTAGGTAAAACAGGACTCATTCTTCTTTCCTCAACTCATAATACAGCATATGGTGCTGCTGAATGGCATAGTATAAGAAAGTATTAACTCATCTTGCAATGGTCAACATAACTTAAATTTGAAGATGCTGGCAAATTGTAAACACACCTGTTGGTTTAAAAAAAAAAAAAGGTATTTTGTCATAATTTTCTATCAATAATTTTGGCATTAAATAAACAGATGTGAACTAGTGCAGATAAAGTAATGAGATAAGGATGGATAAGAAGGATATGAGTGTAATATCTAGGTGTACAAAGAATTTCAAGCCTTAACAGCCCAACTACAGCCCACAACGTACTTATTAAGTGACAAGAAAACTCTCTTAAATGCAGAGTTGTCACATGCTAAGTGAATGATTTATCATACAGAAATAATACAATACAATTTAGCTTTTTTTTTAACTGTGGCCTCTATCACTGTAGGCCCTGAAGCTATAGGCACTGAAAACCAGAAACACAAGTTTCACCACCTCCTATGTTAACATACAGTGGGGGAGGTAGTCTCATAAAGGTCCAAATTGTGGTTGAGGGATTACTAAAAAAAAAAGGCAGATAGCAAGAACAAAGAGCACAGAGAAGGAAAACCTGGACCTGCAGCTATAAGACAAAAAATAGAGAAGAGAAATAGAAAGAGAAAAACAGAAAAAATTGCAGTTCCTTGAATGGCTACCTGAAGCTGGCTTCTAAAGCGAGTCAATCCCCAGACTCTCATGTTAAAATGCCAAACTTTACATATGAAAACATGAAAACGTCTTTATAGCCTAGTAAAAAAAAAATGGTTTTGGTCTCTATAGCTAATTTCAGTGTCCATGGCAACTATATGGGGTTGAAATTTTATACAACTCACCTATCTAAATTTTATTAAGATTTATTAAGTTATGCACAATTGAGGGTGTGCCGCTTTGAGTGACGGGTGGGTGAGTGTATGCTTGCTGCAAACTGTCATGCACCGATTTCTTGGCTCCACACACGCCCCACCTCATGGGTGTGGTCACAGTCTATGGTTGTCATGCCGATGATCAAAACACTTTGTACATGTAATAATGAATGCAGGATAATACATGACAAAGTTAAGCATGAACAAGTTTTTTGCATGCCTGTGAATTAATATTTTTGCTTAGAAGAAAATGTTTTGTTAAATGAAATATTTGCCAATTAAAAGAATCGAGTTTTGTGAGAAGTAAATGATGAACGACGTGTCATTCTTATTTTCTTTTATAGGGTATGTGAGCATTCACCCTACAACTGATATATTTTAATTTTTTTTCTTTTTCTAGACAGTATACACTGAGTAACCATGGCTGAGTACAAGCTAGAGGTGACAACAGGCGAGATGCCATATGCAGGAACATGGGATCACGTATTTGTCACCTTATTTGGAAATGAAGGACAGAGTGAGCGAATTGAGTTGGACAACTATGGCCCTGACTTCACAAGAGCGGCAGTAAGTTGAATCCAGTTGTACATAGCTCATATAATTGTTTGTGCATAAATGTATGTTTGGGTCGTCTTTGCCTCTATCTAAGGACTTATTGGAATATATTACATTCACCTTTATTAGACAACATTAGCATTAACAGCTGTGTACTTATCAGACTAAAAAAAAGGTTATGCGTTCAACTTCGAACTTCTTTCCTTTTCTTGCCAAGAGATGTCTCCAGCACTGGAGAGTGACGCTAGTGTTAACTCTTCTTTTGTTTGTGTTCATTTTTTTCTTCTACTGAAGTTAGTTTGCTAACCAACTAGCCCCTGCCCATACCATCTCATAATACTACTTTGTGATAGTGAGTCACAATGGTGTTCAGTCAGCCATCAGTTCATCATGAGAGGATGAAGAGGTAGTGCTGCCCAGAGGGCGTATTCTAATCTCTTGTTTTGTAAACACAATTATGGCTTTAGCTCTTGGTAGGTTAACAGCTGTTGATGCTAATGTTGGCTATATAGCGATATAAACATTACAAATAGCACCTTTAATAATTCAAGGACCATGAGGTACAGAAGCACATTTCCAGAGTGTTTTGCTTTCTTTGTCTTTTTTGCAAAAAGTATTTTGGACAGTCTGTCAACAAATTTCCACACTTTTGTAAATTTAGTGTATAAAATACTTTTTACAGGCCACACTACTTTCTAATAATGAGTTGCCAAAGTCTTGTTCAAGGTGTGACTC